ATGTAGCAGGGGTGGCGGGTTCAAATCCAGCCTGGCCCTGCTGAACTAAAATACAAAATTAGCCAGGCATTGTGGCAGGCACCTGTAGTCCCCACTACTTGGTAGGCTGAGGTGAAAGGATCACTTAAACCCAAGAGTTTATGGTTGCTGTGAGCTAAGATGCCACAGCCCTCTACCATGGGTGGCTAAGTGAGACTCTGTCTCAAAAATAAATAAATAAATAAATAAAGTGTAAGACAAATGAAGATATTCCAAGGTCTTACAGGTGGAAGAGAGTAGAGGTAATGAATAATTTCGATTTTGTTAACTATTAAGCTTTCTTTTTTTTCCTGAGACAGCACTCTGTTGCCCAGGCTAGAGTGCTGTGGCTTCAGCCTAGCTCACAACAGCCTCAAACTCCTAGGCATAAGACATCCTCTTGTCTCAGCCTGCGGAGTAGCTGAACTACAGGCACCTGTTAAACGCCTGGCTAATTTTTCTACTTTTAGTGGAGACAGGGGTCTCACACATGGCCTTACATATATTAAGCTTTGAAGGATTAAAAGGAAATAATTAAACCTTCATACAATATTTGAAGTAAAAATTACACATTACATTTAACAGTAAGTTACAAAACAACCCTAAGTCAATATCACCCTCGGTAGAGTGCTATGGCATCGCAGCTCACAGCAACCTCCAGCTCTTGGGCTTAAGCGATTCTCTTGCCTCAGCCTCCGAAGTAGCTGGGACTATAGGCGCCCACCCCAATGCCTGGTTATTTTTTGGCTGCAGTTGTCATTGTTGGTTAGCAGGCCCAGGCCGGGCTTGAACCTGCCAGCCTCCATGTATGTGACTGGTGCCTTACTCATTGAGCTACTGGCACTAGGCCGAGGCAAAACTATTTTTATCAAAGAATTCCAGCTAATGCATGTGGAAGAAGTAAAGAATTAGAAAGTCACAATTTTGTAACTCCTAATGAAAAAAAAATACCAAAGGATGCTAAAACTATGATAGGTGAAAGGTCGATGGGGTCACCCCGCGGGTCACCCTGCAGATTACTTGTAAATTACAAGAAGAAAAATCAAACATTATGTATGACAAAGCATCAGGCTTGTCCCCACCTGAACCCGATGGTGAATATTAGCATCACTAGTAAATGGAGTGAGACTTTATGTGCATGCAGTGAGATGCCATGTGAAGCAAACTGCATCGTGTCTAACATGGTTTTGCCAAAAATGTTTCAGCTGAATCTAATTAAGCCTTTAGCTCTCACTTCTAGTTAACCCAAAATACAGAGGTTAGAGTAAGTTAGATAACAGCACAGAAAGTCAATCAAGCAAATCTAAAATTTGGAATGTTCTCCAAGACAATCGACCTAGTCTCTACAACTAGACAGTGTCATAGAAAAGAAGGGGAGGGATGTCGGGGTCCCTTCCTGCTCACCACTTATCAGGGCCCAGGACTGGTTGGTCTCTCCCCAGCCTAGGTAGCTGTTGTGTCCCTGGCCAACTGCTATGCTGTTATCTCACTCAATTAGTGGAGACAATCGTTCCTCAATAAGAGGAACAATTGCTCTTAGGTGCCTGAGGGCTATTTACTTTAGCAGATGGGGGGGGGAGAGTCTTTGAGAGAGTAAAGCAGTCTTCTTAGATAGATAGATCTTAGTCTTTAGCAGAGTTTAGTGATCTTTAGCAGAGAGCTGCAGCGCTGACATTCTGTAGGCAGGAGAGGAGACAGAGTCAGAGTAAGTGTGTCCGTGATAGAATGCACACGCTTCGATTGCCTGCTCCTCCAGCCTAATATAAGGCTGAGCTCGTGCCTCTCAACACCACAGGTGTAGAGACTGCCAATTTACCAATGCTCTCATCTCTCAAGGTCTCTCTAGCTTGTTACAAGAGTTAAATCCCTCTCTGTGCCCTTTTCACCAAGGTGTTCCATTATTGAGCTATACAGGTGTTTCTTGTAACTCTCACTCCTCTTAGCCATAGGCTATATGGGCTGCTACAGAGGGGTATTCTATATTCAAAGAAGTCTCTTAAGAGACATAAAACATGGCTCGGTGCCTGTGGCTCAAGCTATTAAGACACCAGCCACATACACCTAAGGAGATGGGTTCGAATCCAGCCCAGGCCTGCCAAACAACAATGACAGCTGCAACCAAAAAATAGCTGGGCGTTGTGGCGGGCACCTGTGGTCCCAGCTACTTGGGAGGCGGAGGCAGGAGAATCTCTTGAACCTAGGAGTTGGAGGTTGCTGTGAGCTGTGAGGCCACGGTGCTCTGCCCAGGAGGACAGCTTGAGGCTCTGTCTCAAAAAAAAAGACATAAAATATGATTACCAAAAATAGTATACATAACAAGATTAGATCTAGGTCACACCAAGAGCAATAACACCTATTGTGGAAACAACTGGAGAAATTTGAATACTAATTAATTTTTTTGGTTTTTTTGAGACAGAGTCTTTCTCTGTGGCCCTGGATAGAGTGCTGTGGCATCATCACACCTTACAGCAACCTCAAACTCAAGCTCAAGCAATCTTCTTACCTCAGCCTCCTCAGTAGCTGAGACTAACAGGTGTCTTCCACAATTGCTACAATGTCCAGCTAGTATTTTTTTCTTTTTTTTTCTTTTTTCATTTTTGAGACAGAGTCTCAATTTGTCTCCCTTGTAGAGTGCTGTAGCATCATAACTCACAGCATCCTCAAACTCTTGGGCTCAAGCAATCCTCTTGACTCAGTTAGGACTATAGGCACCCGCCACAACACACTGCTGTTTTTTTGAGATGGGGTCATGTTGATGCTCTGACTGGTCTCCAACTCTGGAGCTCAAGCAATCCACCTGCCTAGGCCTCCCAGAGTGCTGGGATTATAGGCATGAGCCACAGTGCCTGGCCCATGAACTTCTTTTGAAAATAATTGAATTAATAATCTTTAAAAATGTTCACGGCACAACTAAGATCTTCTCATGGCACCCTGGTGCACAAGTTTGAAAATCACTGCCCTAGGGGAAGACTGTCCTGGCCTCTTCCTTCCTTCTAGTTGCAGGCAGTTCTTGTCGTTCTTTCCTCGGCTTGTAAATAAATCCCTCCAGCCTCAGCTTTGTCTTCACTGTCTTCCTGTGTCTCCTGTTGTCTTCCTTCTGTGCATTTCATTCTTTATATTTCAAAATAATGTTTTTTTCCAAAAATGATGGACCGAGAACTCGTGTCTACTCACCATCCTGATCAAAATCCCATTATAATGGTAGAAGAAATGCTTAAATAAATGACTTCCTAACAGCTCAAGAAACAACAACAAAAGCAATACAAGCAAACATTAAATCTTTAGGGGTTCTTGGATTGACAGGGTAATGAGAGGACAGAAACAACAGCCCTCCGAGAAGAAACTTAAAGCTCTCTGTCATGACTTAAAGCACAGCTCCGTAACACCTAGGAAACGCTCCGAAGCAATTGTAGAACGACTGATTTCATTAATTAATTAAGGGATCAGCCTCAGAGCAACTGGAGCGGACTATTTCCCTTGCTTTCGCCTCCAGGTCCCCTCACTCTGCTTCCCACACAGATCCACAGCCTATAACAGCTTTAAGCCTGGTATAAAAACTTATGGATTTTCTAACCCGACAGTATATAAAACATGGGCCAAATCAGGCTTACAGATGCATGTTGTTTGGCCAACAGAGCACTTAACTTAATGAAAAATGTTAAGATGAAATCTAAGTTGTCAACTTCTTTTTTTTTTTTTTTTGGTAGTTTTTGGCTGGGGCCGGGTTTGAACCCACCACCTCCAGCATATTGGGCCTATGCCCTACCCCTTTGAGCCACACGTGCCGCCCAGTTTTCAACTTCTTAAATAAGAAAATAAACAAAACACTGAAGACTGGGGAACCTGGGCCTCCTCACTCCTGGATGATAACATCTGCTGGATCTGAGGTTATGCTCTTCTTTTTGTTTTCTTCTTCTGCCTTCGATCTTTGTTTTCTAGATTTTTCTGCAGTGCTTGCTGAATATACAGTTTCCCAAGCCTTTCCCCTGGAGATTTTGATCAGGTGGACATTATGTGTTGAGTTGTGTTTTTCCCAAATTTGTATGCTGTAGTCCGTAAGCCCCAGCACTTTAGAAAGTGACCTTTTCAGAGATAATCAAGTTAAAAATGAAATCACCAGGATAGAGCACTAATCCAATATATCTGTGGTCCTTATAAAAAGAGATAATTGATAATTAGGGCACAGACAAGCTGATGAGAAGAGATGTGGACGGAAGATGGTTATCAACAAGCCAAGGAGAAAGGCCTGGAACAGATCCTTCCCCCACAAGCCCTCAGCAAGAACCAACACTCTGATAATTAATACCTTGATCTCAGACTGTTGACCTCCAGAACCGTAGGACACATTTCTGTTGTTGAACCACCCACGATAGTATTTTATTATGGCAATCTTAGTAAACTAAAAAGAGATGATTTGGTACTCAGTCTGGAAGTGTGTACTTTAATAAATACACCAACTAGTGTGGCTGCACGTAGGAATGACCTGTAAAGCTTCATGAAAATACTGATTCCTGGATTCTCGTTCCAAGGATTCTGACAGAATTTATCGAGGCTGAGACTTCAGCATCAGTATTTTCTTTCTTTTTTTTTGAGACACAGTCTCACTTTGTCACCCTCAATAGAGTTGCCCTGGCATCATAACTCGTAGCAACCTCAAACTCTTAGGCTCAAGTGATCCTCTTGCCTCAGCATCCCGAGTAGCTGGGATTACAGGTGCCTAGCACAATGCTCAGCTATTTTTAGAGATGGAGTTTCGCTCTTGCTCAGAATAGTATCCAACTCCTGAGCTCAAGCAATCTACCTGCCTTGGCCTCCCACAGAGCTAGGATTATAGGCATGAGCCACTTCGCCTGGCCCAGCATCAGTATTATTATTATTATTTTTGTGTAGAAATTTTTTTTTAATTTTAAAAAACAGACTAAGAAAACCAAATCTTTTCCTCCTATAAAACTGGCCTCCTAGTGTTATGAAAATAATTACATAGCACACTGTTTCTTTTTAACTTGTGGACAAAGACTTCTAGACAACTCAAAAAAATACATCTTCTTTTGCAACCCAGAACTCACTGTTCAGTATGAGTTCTGATACATATAAGGATTGTGCAAAAAAAAAAAAAAAAAAAATCAGAGTCCACTGATTACCAGAGAATAACTACTGATGGGAAACACAAAAGAAGGGTTTGTTTTCTTCCTGATGGGATTATCAGTGAATTTAATTATATGTTATGTTGCATTTTAGTTCTGGTAGTACAATAATTTAATGACTTCATACATGAAAATCAAAGTTTGTCTTTCTAAATAAAAAGAAAATAGCACCTAGAGTTAAGGATGGAACACTGTAGCTCCTTTCTTTAGTACATCTGGTTTTTAGGTCACAAAATTAGAGCACCTATAAGAAACAGGATGATCGTCACCAAGAATGATTAAAACCATGAACTATCATGGAATTGAAAATACCACATTTAAGATACAATCATGGCCAGGTACAGTGGCTCCCATCTGTAATCCCAACACTCTGGGAGGGCGAGGCAGGTGGATTGCCTGAGCTCACGAGTTTGAGACCAGCCTGAGCTAGAGTGAGACCCCCGTCTCTAAAAATAGCTGGGTGTTGTGGCAGGTGCCTGTAGTCTTAGCTACTCAGTAGGCTGAGACAAGAGAATGGTTTGAGCCCAAGAGTTTGAGGTTGCTGTGAGCTATGATACCACGGTACTCTACCCAGGGCAACATAGTGAGACTGTCTCAAAACAAAAACAAAAAAGCACATATGATTATGTCCAAGAAAACTGGACAATGTTAAAGGCAAATTTTGTAAGTTTGGTTTAAAATCATTCATTTTAATATATCCCCCTCAAAAAGCTGAATTTATTATTTTACACTAACATTCTGTAAATTAAACAGAATAATTACGTTGTCTCATGGACTGGAAGGTAACTTATTATCTCCCTTTCATTCCCAAACCTCATCAAGCAGTCCCTACATTTACAAGGTAAGTCAGCTGAATGCTGGAAATCTGGATGAATTTTAAGATTTTCAGTTTGTCCTGTTGAATATTCACAATATTGACATAAAGAAATCCCTTTGGATAAATGTGAATGTAGATGCTTTTAATATTCTAGGTTACATTTTCGCCCCAGAGTCTTTGTTTCACAGAGCCTTTTCGCCCCAGAGGTGTTGTGGCAGACACCTGTAGTCCCAGCTACTCGGGAGGCTGAGGCAAGGGGATCTATTGAGCCCAAGAGTTTGAGGTTGTTGTGAGCTGTGATGCCACAGCACTCTACAGAAGGCAACAAAGTGAGACTCTGGGGTGAAAAGGCTGTGTGAAAAGGCTTTCCCACAGTCACCACAAACATGAGGAAAAATTGTAGTATGTTCAGTAGCCACAGGCCTATCAACATTAGCACGCAGTCTCCTCTGGAACCACATACTTGACGTGCAAAGAAGTTTTTACATTTGTCCAAGGTAATTTTGCTTGAGAGGCTACACTGTCCATGTTCTCCACTGTTAGACTTATCACTTAACTCTGTTAATTTACACGCATGCTCATTTACCACATGGCAGTGCAAGGCTTCTGGATCCTTAGTTTCGCATTCACAGAATGGCATGAATACTGCTCACTGTGCTACTGGAAATGTAGGTGGGGTTCACTGCTTGAGGAGAACTGCACATCACCCTGCTCACACCAATAGAAGGGTTCACTAAAATGGTGTCTGCAATGTGCTGGCTTAGATTCTCAAGCATTACTGTCTTAGCTGGATGCAGTGGCTCATGCCAGCAATCCTAGCACTCTGGGAGGCTGAGGCATATGGATTGCCTGATCTCATGAGTTTGAGACCAGCCTGAGCCAGAGCGATACCCCATCTTTAAATAAAGCAGGGTGTTGTGGCAGGCACCTGTAGTCCCAGCTACTCGGGAGGCTGAGGCAAGGGGATCTCTTAAGCCCAAGAGTTCGAGGTTGTTGTGAGCTATGATGCCACAGCACTCTACAGAGGGCAACAAAGTGAGACTCTGGGGCGGTATCTGTGGCTCAAGGTTTAGGGCACCAGCCACATATACCAGGGGTGGCAGGTTCAAGCTCGGCCCTGACCAAAATTGAAAAAAAATAAAAGTGGAAAAAAAATTACTGTCTTATAATCACAGTATTTAGAAATGTAGGGATCCTCTTCATGTAGTTTGGCAAGTTCTATCAGAAGCATGTTGGTAGAGAAACTTTCCTTGCATACTCAACAATCATTTGAATAAGTACGTTTATACTTCAGGATCACATGCTACTTTAAATCAGAAAAATATTTGCTGTTGAACTCACAAAGTTCACATTTATAGAGGTTGCTGCTATTAGCTCTTAATAAAGGCCCTTTCTGCTGGGCAGTCACATTCAAAGCCTGGCTGTTGTCAAGAATTTTAAAAATGTAGCTGGTGGTTCATCATTGGTTTGGTCTTGGAGACTCTCAGAGGAACTGTTTTCTGTCTCTATATCATAATCCTCAGAAACTGCATGCTCTTCTACAGTGATCAGAACATCTCCAGCTGCGTGAACTTCTGTAGGTCTCTTCTCTTGGGTTTGTTGGTTGATTGAGTCAAGTGAGCCACACTCTTCATCGCAAATTTCAACATCAGATTTTTCTGTAGAAAAGGCAGTATGGTCTAGAATTCTAAGTACTGGACTAGGACCCAGATAGTTCTGGTGTCTGTTTCTGGCCTTGGTTCCATCTGTAAATTTTGGCAAGTCATTTGATGTCTCAGCGTCAGAATCATTGTCTTTGTTGTCAAAGTATTTTAAGTCTGGCTGTCTCATAGATGCTATAACAATGTTATGCTGTAACAATGGTCAGAAAAAATTCCATTGAATCCATCTGCAGTTCTGCTTATTCCAGAGGAGTCTGGATAACGAGAAGGGTGTAAAGTCTTCCTTCTTTTTTTAGGATACTCATTCATATATTCTCAATTTGTTATAATTCTTACTTCTGGAGTAAAGAGAAATTAATTACAGGGAAGTTTCCACAGATAGCTAAAAAAATGCCAGGCCCCTGGGCACGACCGGCCCTCCTGGGGCAGCTGGCCCAGGGACACCGCAGTAGGCCAGCTCCTCTGCCTCCCTCGTGGCCCCCGCCCTGTGGCATCAGTATTTTTTAATGGTCCCCAGGTGATTCCTGGGGAAGCTATAGTTGAGAACCACCAGTTGGAGAACACTACAATGCCAGAGTAATGTAACAGTTACACTTTCTTTCACTTTTTTTTTCAGTTCTTAGCTTTCTCATTATAAATAATTTTAACAGCTATCATTTACGGGGACCCTTCATGGTTTGCCAAAGGTCACATAGGTTCATAAGTAGCAGTCTGCACCAATGTCTCTCTCCACTTTGCTATTTAGTCTTCCAACAAAATAGGAGATAAACCAAATGACCTCTAAAAATGCATCCAGCTCAAAAACTCTTTAATTTTAAGATTCTTATAAATGTTTTACTAATGCCTCTGTCAAGAGTGCCTGTGCGCTCCAGAACCTTCTACTTCTACCTATAAATACATGAATACATTGGATTCTCTTTCTTCTTTTTAGGTCAAGAAAGCATTAGCCATTCACTTAAATCTATTTCAAAGATGACAAAAAGCAAAGCAACATCACAGTGTATAAAACAAGAGTCCTGGTGAGATGAGACGATAATAGGAGAAGCTCACGGGTTCATGGAACCTGTGAGCTCAGTCAATCCCCCTGCCTTGGCCTCCCAGAGTGAGGTGCAATGGTTTAGATACCCATTCCTTCTAGTGGCCTGAGGATAATCGTTGGCCATTATGTCTACCAATATTACCAAAGTAATTTATTTAAAGATGTTTTATATTAAAACACAGGCCATACCTCCCTCACAAATCCTGCTATTCAGTCTCCAACAGGATCAGGGAACGTCATTGCCAGTTCATCAATTTATCCCATTCCATATTTACTGAAGCCCACAGCATGCAGACTCTGTCCTTGGGGTACAGTGAGAACAGGACAGACCAACTCCCTGCCCCTGTGACACCTACAGTCCAGTAGGATACAACGGTCCATGAGCAAGTCAGTAAGACCTTGAAGAAAATTACAGATTTTGAAGAATTCTGTAATATTACAATTAAAAAAAAAAGTTGATGCCAAAAAGTAGAGTTTATAAGCAAGGAAACTTTAGTCTGAGCAAGAATGAGACCCTGACTCTACAAAAAAACAGAAAAATTAGTTGAATTAGTCTCAACTCTATAGTCCCAGCTACATAGGAGGCTGAGATAGGAGGATCGTTTGACTCCAGGGGTTGGAGGCTGCAGTGACCTTTGATAACACCACTACACTAGCCAGGGCAACAGAGCAAGAACCTGTCTGAAATTAATAAAAGAAATAACCATCCAATAAATAAATATTTAAAATATAGATAAAATGATAGTTATTAACACACCAACTTTTAGAAAAGTCAAACAAAAAAGTGAATATAACTTCTTGGGTCAGTTCTAAAATCTGCGAAGTTCTTTCTAGTTAAGAAGACAGGAATGGGACCCTGGCTGAATCATCTCCCTGGCTTGCCCTTAAAACATGCATAGGGTTATTTTATCAAAAGAGAGAAAGTTCTAACAGGACTTCAATATAAAACTATCCATCCATAGCTAGTCAGATTTTTTTTTTCTATTTTTGAGGCAGAGTCTCACTCTACTCTGGATGGAGTATTGTGGCGTCATACCTCATAGCAACTTCAAACTCTTGGGCTTAAGAAATCCTCTTGGTTGGGTGGAGGGAGGGTGATTAGTGGGATCGTGCCATGGTTCATCTTATAAGGGTACATGTGAATCTTTGTAATGTAGAATATAAATGTCTTAGCACAATAACTAAGAAAATGACATGAAGGCTATGTTAACCAGTTTGATGAAAATATTTCAAACTGAATATAAAAACAGCATACTGTATCCCATGACAGTATTAATGTACACAGCTATGATTTTAAAAAATAATAAAAAAATAAAAATAAATTGGTTTCAAAAAAAAAAAAAAAGAAATCCTCTTGGGGCGGTACCTGTGGATCAGTGGGTAGGGCAATGGCCCCATATACCTGGGGTGGTGGGTTGAAACCTGGCCTTGGCCAAACTGCAACAA